TGTACCAGGTAGTCCCACGGGTAAAGGTAGCTGTCGGAACGCTAGACTGGGAGGAGGAGGAACTTCGGCCATCACCTGGCCCAGCACGTTTCTCCCTAACACGCGACCCCTAAGCACTTACCTCGTGTAAGAACAGGGCCATGCTTTCCAGATTTCTTTTAGCCTCACAGAAACTGCTACTATTATCTGAAATAGGATTCCTTAGCCTTATCTCTTACCCTTTATCCAACTGGGATTTAAAAAAAAAAAAGTGGCACACTCTCAGCCTTCAATTTTAAATAGAAACCTTTATTTACAATGACGTCCAAAATGATCAACAAAGGAGTCACAGCTTACCACTCACCCATCTCATAAGTTATCCCATGTGGTTTGGATTCTTTGCAGTGTGGTTTATATTTTTAAAAAACATTTAATGTAAAACTGATTGAAAGTGAATTCATTCTCAACACTGTAAGTCAATTCCTGAGAATTTAAATATTGCTCTCAGAATGACATGTCCATCTTCAAAATTCCAAATATTGGAAAGAGAAAGAGAAGGAAGGAAAACGAGAACAGCCTGCTCACGATGAAACAGTCTGCCTCGGGGCCACATAACAGATCCTCTGCTCCTCTGCAGCAGGGGAGAGTTCATCTACCCGAGAGGTTTTATTCCTATGAACTTCCCACTTGTGAACAAATGCACGGACTCTGCAAATAAAAAGGGAACTGGACAGGCATATGGGTAGCTGGCAATCCATTGTGTTTACTTTCCAGCTGTATCTGTCTATGGATCAAGGAACTTACAGGACAGCAAGCCAGCTATGTTCTGTAGTGCCCCGCCCCTATACACCCCCAACTCACCTTAGATATTAAATACTGATTAAGCAGTCCTATTGATTTTTACACCTTTCCATCAAGATGCACAGTTTAGAAAAGTGGCATCATAATATGAACATTAACAATGGATTTCTATTTGTTTTTTTAAAGGAAGAAACGTATCTCCTTTATATCATTTTGATCTTTATAAAATATATATATATTTATATTTATATATCTTTGGATTCAGCAAAAAAGTAGGTACTGGAAATATCTCACATTCTAAAAGCAGATGAAAACATTACTTACACTGTTCACCCAACAGATACTAAGGTTTAAAAAAGTGGTGGGGGTGAGGGGAGGAGGGGTGAGGAGAGGTAGGCAGAGGAGTACAAAGAGAATTATCCGAAAAAGATAAAACGGGAATAAAGGTAAAAACAAATTATCTCAAAGACTGCATCTATTAAAAGGAAACAAAATCTCAAATTTGCACCAATAAAATGAACAAGTAGTAAATATAAAAACTTATAATAAACTTCATTTTTCTTCCATATAAAAAGGGGGTGCTGCCTTCCACTTAGCCTGGAGTCAGAACTGACTGAGGAAAAGAATCACAAAACTTTTTGTCTTTAATTAAAAGTCAAGAAAGGGTAAGAGCACCATTCTATTTCTCCCATACACGTGTGACTTCAACAAGAAAGGTTCAGATACATCTGATACAACTGTGTCTAAAAAGACAGACTCTTATTCAGCTCTGCCTCTGTCTCCAGACCAGAGGATGTGTTATCTAAAAAGTACAGGCGACTCAGATGGAAGCTGATGGATTTATAATCTTAGATTTGTTTTTAACCAGGTGGGGGGAGTGTGAAACTCAGATCCACTCTAGTGGCGGTTCTGGAAACACAGGTTTCACTTACTCATAGGTCAAAGAAATTAAATGATCTCACCTTCAGAGACACCTACAAATATTGGCTAAACGTGTGTAAAAATTTTAACTGGCTCTCAGTTATTGCTAGGAAACGACACCAAGGCTAACAGACATTTGAAATTCATAGCTAGTCCAAAAACCTAATTTCATTCAACTGTTTGAACCTGATAACATAAACCAGGTAAAGGGAATTAAACTTGACTTTCTTCCCTATTCCCAACTGACAAGCGGCAGCAGCAGAAAGGGGCGGGGGCAGAGCAGGGAGGGAATGCAAAGGTGCCCAGTCAGACCTCGGCTCTGAATCACATGAAACTGGCTGCTATGGAGACTGAACTCCTTAGGAAATAACCATGATGCTACTCCTCCAATTCTCGGGGGAAAACATCACAGTAGTGGAAGGACAAGACAAGCTGAGCAGACACCAGGAACCACACACTGAGGATTCTACGCCTGAGATCTCAATGTGGGACTCAGGTCCTAGCAACCAAAACCTTAGAGCACTCCTAAGATGGATGAGAAGACAACATATTCACTTTTAAAAAAAAATACCATGAACTGCCATTTAATTTATGGACTGCTTAAAATCCAAGATTCTTCTTTGAAATCAAATTGCTTGATCTTTTAAAATCCTTGATATCTGGGGGTTTTTTTAAAGTTTATTTCCCCGTATCTATTCTCTCCCCCAAAATTAACAAAGTGCTTAGTTCTGGTAGAGAAATTTTTTTAAAAAATTTAAATGTCTACATCTAAATGATCTCTTTAAAAAGCATTGAGATTAAGAGACTGAAAACAAGCGAGGCATCTCAGGCTGGGGGCAAGGAAAAGCTGTTGGCCACTGCCCCATCCCCCAGGCCACAAAATTCAGGGGATGACTTCTGTTGGTAACCTCACCATGCTGAACTTACTGAAATCAACAATGTTAAATATTTAGTTTCACAAACTCTGTAAAAATGAGTTGTTGTGACCTACAAAAAAAGGTATGTACATATTTTACATAATACAATATCTTAAAGGTCATATTTACAAAAGAAATTCTATTCACAGAAACACTGCGAAATTCTGATTCAGAATGCAGTACCTGGCCTTGGGTTTTCTGCAGTTTATTTTCAAAAAGCATTATTGCTCTACCACATAGGCAAAGGGTGAAACCAGTACTTTCAACAACAGCAACAAAAATCATAGTTCTTGTCCAACAGATTAGACAAAAACTAGGTACGTGGTTCACCGTTCCTCAAGACCTCGAGAATATTGCATTTATCCATTACCTTTTAAATAAAGTGCACTCCGCTGCACGTTAGCATATGAAAAATTGCCACTGACTCTGCTGCAATTAAATACTGTCATCTATTTTCCCTTCTGCGACGCCATCTGACACCAAGGACAGTTCCTGGAGCTGAAGTATTACAGGACATTAGGGGCAGATAAAAATGCTATTTAGGAAAAAGCCTAGGACAACCAAGAGTAGGGTCAGAGCAACTCAACACTATCCTTAAGGGAGAACTTGGAAATGCCCACTCCCGGGACAGAACCTGATACTGACAAAAACACTCGAGGTTGGGACCATGCTCTTCACCCAATACAGCAACTATCAAGAAACCGGATGTTCTAATCTCTTGATTTCTCCAATGTTCTCTGGCCCACCTACATTTTTTACAAAGACTTTGGATAGCCAAGCAGAAAAAATTTTCTGACACCGGACAGTTCTGTGATCAGTAACACTCCGTACCTCCAGAATCACATCCTAAAAAGGCAGAACGCCAAAAATATTTGTTTTAAACACCATGATAACATAGGAGGGAAAAATAGCAGGTAGGTATCACACTTCAGCTTAAAATCCAGTCCTGCCTGCTCAAATGACAGCACTTGAAATACCCTTGATGGAGATCAAAGCTGGTCCTTTCTTCAAAGCTGGGTGCCTAGACAATGATTCTTTACTCCCAATAATCCTAGTGCAGTGTCATTTGTACAGTGATTTTCTTGGAGGTCCTGGTGTAGAGATGTCAGCAATATTTCTGTTGGCAACCAGAAGTAACATGAGTAAAACACACACTTTGCCCAACAGAAAAGAATCCATTATGTCTACACTGATGGCTTGCAACATGGCTCTGGCTGACTGACTCAGTTCTTAGATCCCAGATTTCTGAAAGTATCAACTGGCCCAATGCCTTCAAACCAAAAGTTTTTTCAATTACTACATATATTTTTAAGTTATACATCCAAGTTTAAAAATCTACCTAGGACCTTTAAACATTACAGTTGAGGCTTTGGTTCTCTCCAGAGAACAGGAAAATTTTTTTTGAGAAAGGTAAGGAACAGATCCCCCCACCCCGTACCTGATCAGGACCCATCGGCATGCCAGTCATGGGCATGGAGTTCATGTTCATCTGTCCCATGGGACCACTACTGCCATTCATGTGCACCATACTATATGCTGCAGGATTCCCCTGGTGGGCAAACTGCTGATGGGAAAAAGAGCTGTAAAGAAAGTGGGAAATTACCTCCTGGGTCATTTTCATAACACAGGACATGCACACAGAGACTACCGCAATTTTGTCAATGTCGCTGTACTCAAGCAGAGAACGTGGGCAAGCAAACTCTGACAGCCTGCCTTCCATCTTCCACAGCTCTCTGTACTCACTACCCTCGTGGAGATGAGCACAGTAGGAAGGCTTCTCAAAACACATGAGCCAAATCACACACTTTCTAATGTAAGCCTAGGACCTTTGATCTCCCCACCCAAACAGGCTTGGCTGAAAAACACAGAGGCTAATTCCCTGAACTTCTGGCACTAGAATGTGGCCGACTTTTATGAAGTCCCTATTCTGGGAATTCCCCAGCAGTCCAGTAGTTAAGACTCTGCAATTTCACTGCCGAGGGCTTGGGTTCAATCCCTGTCAGGGAACTGAGATCCCGCAAGCCAAGCAGCCCAGCCAAAAAAAAAATCCCTGTTCTTCACCTGTTCCTGGTCAGGGTTCCTGACGGCCAGCCCTTCATTTCCGAGGACTGATACATGGGTGCGGTCTGAGGGTGCTGCATCATGGGATTCTGGGAGGGACCCATTCTTGATGATATCATCGCACTGGGAGGACTAGGCACTCGACCAAACGCTGGATCTGGCTGCTGTCCCATCCCTTTAAAAAAAGATAGAAGAAGAGAAAGAAATTACAATGCTCAAATGCTACCTCCTTAGAATATCAGCTTTCTATAGTAACTTGAGGTTCTTTTTAAAGGTGGGGGAATGTGTTAAGTATAAGGTATAAAGATGCTGCCTGCCAGTAATTCTTGCTTCTCACCAAGGTGACAACTAGAGCCAGGCTTACTACAGAGATGCACGCTGTGTGGATCCCCCGAAGGGCAGTTACTTCAGTGATCTTTCTGTATAAAAAGGACACCATATCACGCTGCTCCTCACTCCATCCCCCTTTACAGGGCAAAGAGCTGTGTCCCCAGCTGACAGGGATGCATCCTCAAATGTCATCTCTGCAATAGATACCTCTAGCGCCACTCCCACCATGTTCCTGGAACCTCACAAAGGCATGACTGTAATTAATATGTTCAAGCCACCAAGAAAAGGAACTCAAAAAGTCCACACAGTGCATTGCTCTCACTGTTCGGAGATGGCAGAGTTCTACTATGCTGGGACGTACTGGACGGGACCTGGTAAGTCTTTCTTCCAAATTAAGACGTGGGGAACTGTAAAAACAAGAACTGGTGGGAAAACACCTGAACTATGATAGATCATCTACCTCAGTGACAATCACCTGTGCACTGCAGTAGACATTTTTGTTATTTTTTAATTAATTTTGTTTCTCTTGTGAAATAAAAGAGAGTGAATAGCATTTGTTTTTAATATACAACAGACCTAGTGACTCTTACGTCCGTAGGAATGTTACTTTGAGGAAGACATTATTATCCCTGACAAATTTACCATAATTTGGTGGATACGGAAACTGCTGGGGTGGAGCTTGTGGCAGGGCAGGCCCTGCCAGGACTCCGTCCATGGCGGAGGACGCAGTCACGTTAGGGGGTGGACTGAAGGCCTGGGTTTGCTGCTGCTGCTGCTGCTGCTGCTGCTGCATCATCATCGCCACCCTCTGCTGTCGGAAGTGATGACTCAGCAGCTCTCTGCTGCGCTGGGCGACCATCTGGGCATTAAGGAAACCCTGCTAATACCCAAGAAAGAACGCAATTACACACATGTGGCAAGAGCTAGCCAATTTCATACATACAGTGCCCCCATGACACATGAGGTATCAGAGAGAAAAAACACCCAATGCCTTTCTATATAATTACAAAAAAGGAAACGCACAATTCTCATTATGGTAAAGGCTTTCTGGCTTGGTGTGGGTATGAGCATTGGGGGAGAACAGGGACCTGGAAATTACTGGGGGCTAGGGGACGAAAGCAGAAAAGTCATCGGGCTTTGACATAGTTAGAAAACTTTCCTCAAAGTGAGAGAACATTTAGGAGTAGAATTTGAGGACAAACTTTTCAAAAACTATAAAATAAAACAGCAAGAAGAAAAGGGGCAGGAATGAGACTATGTTTGGGGGAGAAACAAAAAGAGAAGCCAAAAACAAAGCAAAGGGATGGGGTTATACTCAGAGAAGCAGGAATCCACCCCAGAAGCTCTTGTAGTCTCTCTAAACCTTCTGACAGAAGAGGTGAAGGGTAAGGAGGTGACGGGATCAAAGCACTGAACAAGGAAGCTGACCTGTTGATTTGCCAGCTGGGAGAGATCATCACCAAAAAGCAAACATTTATCCTCTTTTTGGAAAGCATCCTAGCTCAGCTTATACAGGAGATCTGACTATCAAGAAAATATATAGGTATCGGTACTTCCGAGTAGGTCTAACAGCAAAAACTAGGCATTTCAGAATTGTTGTTGTTTAACAATATTTCAAACCACAGTAGGGATTTTCATGTAGTTATCTGCCTTGTGCACACTAAGGAAATGCCTTAATATAGTGTGTCCACCATGCGCTGGAGGCAGACAGAACTTTAACAGCACTCCTCCCACTATGGGAAATCAGGTCATCTCAGAGGCTGTCACTGAGAGTTGGATTATAAATTATTTATTTTCTTCTTTATACTTCTTATAATTTCAAATTCTACGCAGTGAGCATGTGGTTTCACAATCCAGGAACAGAAAAAAGTTTACAGATTTTTTATTTTCAATTCCTGAAAAGTAAATGGTAGCTGTTTTCACAACACAACAACTGATCACAAAGGGAATTAATTTTTTTATTAATTTTTATTGGAGTACAGTTGCTTTACAATGTTAAGTTTCTACTGTACAGCAAAGTGAATCAGCTATATGTATACATATATCCCCTCTTTTTTGGATTTCCTTCCCATTTAGGTCACCACAGAGCACTGAGCAAAGCTCCCTGAGCTATACAGCAGGTTCTCATTAGTTATATTTTTTATACACAGTATCAATAGTGTATATATGTCAATCCCAGTCTCCCAATTCATCCCATCCCACCCCCGGGAAACTAACTTTAAAAACATGAATCAGTGGTTTTTAATAAAAGAACCTCTCTTCCTCTGATTCTTCCTAGTTACCAGTAGGAGAGACAAAGGGAAGGAAAAAAAGTGTGATGGGACCATGGGATGGGTTCTTACACAAGAAATTTGGGATTATGTACTGTCTTTGTTTAATAAACATTTACTGAGAGTCAAGCATAGGCCAAGCCCTGTGCGGGGCATTCAGCCCTGAACATGGAGAGACTTATTCTCACCTGGGAGTTGACCTGAGGCTGCATCATGGGCCTCATCACCGCAGCCCCACCAGCAGTGGGGTTTTCCATTTTCATTTCAAGTGCCTGACGGCTCTGGTTCAAAAACTGGGGAGAGACAGGGTGGTTAGAATGCAAGTGGAGCATGTTAATGAGCCCAAACAGCTGTCCACACCCTTGGCACCACACAGCGAGGTCATGATGACACCTCTAAACCCATTACCCGGGCTAAGTCATGGCTAAGCTGAAGCAGCACACTTTCACATTTCAAAAGGGTTGGTGCTGCAAAGCCCTTGGCTGGCATGTGAGGCCTTCGTGTTCAGCAACAGGAGGAAAAGTGAAAGTGCAATTCTGCAGCTTAAAGAATGTCTTCAACAGGAACTCAAAGAATTTATAAAGTCAGATTTTCTCTGGGATTACTTAGGCTATTGGGGAAATAGCCTTAATTTGATCAAAGGTAACACTGGAAAAAACCACTTCTGCTACCTTTTCCTGGGTAATTTTTAGTGGAAAGAAATGGTAAAAAATGATACCATGAATGCATTAACACAGCTTTCCTGAGTACCTACGCTGACTTTTAGGAACATTAATACACTGGAAGGGTATCCGGCTCACTGGATTCTCAATTCACTCATCTGCTTATGTGGTTCGATCCCCCCACATTTAAGAACTCAGTGCACTCAAGATACAAAATAAAAATAAATCTTTTTAAAATAAAATTTTTTAAATGTGTTACAAAGGAAACAACGGAAAAAAAAATATTAAAAGAGCTCAAGTTGTATAACACATCTAGAAAGCAGAGGTTCCTTACAGAAACTGCTCAAATCAATAAGGTTTCAACATCTGGCTATTAACATTAAGGACTTTTTTTTTTTTTTTTTCCTTGCGTTATGCGGGCCTCTCACTGTTGTGGCCTCTCCCATTTGCGGAGCACAGGCTGCGGACGCGCAGGCTCAATGGCCATGGCTCACGGGCCCAGCCGCTCCGCGGCATGTGGGATCTTCCCGAAACGGGGCACGAACCCGCGTCTCCTGCATCGGCAGGCGGACTCTCAAGCACTGCGCCACCAGGGAAGCCCAAGGACTTTTTTTAATAATAGAAATTATCTACCTCTAAGACTACAAAGCCATCAAGAAACCTCTTCTCCCCCAAGAGCAATTCTCTCGGACATTTTTTATTTTTCAACCTGTACAACGGAATATTCTTATAGAAAGGTATCCAATTCTAGTACAACCACGCCCTAGCAAGGAACCATCCATACAAGTAAAATGTTAACAGAAATGAAAACGAAAGGAATTTCTTTGGTTGACTAGGGATAGAGAGCCAGTGGCAAGAGCCCTGAAAGAACACAGACCAAAAACAAATGAAAGAGGAGGAGGCCAAAGGGAAAGCTGCTTTGGGCGTGTGACTGGGTTACCTGCTGGCCCTGCAGCCTCTGCTGAAGCTGCATTCTAAGTTGCTTGGGAGTGTTTGTCCGGGGTCTCATGATGTTGGCCCGAGGGTGCATTCCTTGGAGAGGAAAACCTCCTTGCTGGTTCATCTGATTCATCATCGAGTTAAAAGGTGGTGATTGTCCTGGAAGATTAAAGCCTCCTTGCACTGGAGGCCCCTGTGTCGGGTATGTCTGCCCATATAATGCTGCCTTCTGCTCCATCATTACTGCAGCTTCTTGGCCTTGGAAAGCATCCTGTTTGGACTCCAAAGCTTGTCCCTAAACATCAAACACATAAATGAACAGTAAAGTACACGTGGGAAAGCAACAGAAAAACAATGCTCTAAAGAAGGTGAAAAATATAAGTCAATATATGTGAATGATGACGTTGCAGAATTCCAAAAGCGAAATCAAATTTATTGTCTTAAATTCCATGAGACCAGAGACCAAACCATCTTTTAATAGCTGTGTACTAGTGCTTACGGAGCACAGGGTCTCACACAGGGAGACACTCAAATATTTTCTGAACCAAATATCTACGATGTATTGAGTACCTGGAGAAATACTATTTGTTCCAGACAAGATTTCTGTACCAACATTGACCTCCCATGCCAAGTGTAAAATAAATCAATGCAAATCACTGGGATCAATGAATTCTCATGTAATCTGCACAAGAATGCTTTTGAAGGTGGCAAGAGGTGAGTTTAGTAGAGACAGGTAAATCAACAACAGCCCATGTCCCCTGAGGTGTATTCACCACATGAACAAAACCTAAAGGTGGGGCGCTTCCCTGGTGGCGTGCAGTGGTTAAGAATCCACCTGCTAATGCAGGGCACATGGGTTCAAGCCCTGGTCCAGGAAGATCCCACATGCTGCAGAGCAACTAAGCCCGTGCGCTACAACTACTGAGACTGCGCTCTAGAGCCCATGCTCCGCAATGATAGAAGCCACCGCAATGAGAAGCCCGCATACCTCAACGAAGAGTAGCCCCTGCTTACTGCAACTAAAGAAAGCCCGTGCACAGCAATGAAGACCCAACGCAGCCACAACTAAATAAATAAATAAATAACCTAAAGGTGGTCAGTCATCCACTATTTGTGCGTGAGAAGGAGAAAGAAACCTATTAACTCAACAAGTATTTATTAAGTGTGTTACATGCCAGGTATCACTTCTCTATGTGCTAACCATGCATACAAAGTAATGTCCAGCAGAAAAAGAAGTAAAAATAAATACTCTGAAGGAGGGGAGAGCCTGCCATGTTAAGACAAGAAGAGCCAGGCAGGTGCTGCATCCACCTTTAACTTCTCATCCTTGGGCACAGGATGCCAAGTGTGCAGTTTACACCTTCACCAAGTCTCGTCCTAAAGCACACCTCACCCCGTGGTGACCATGACACCATTCTCTATTTTCTCCCCCATCTCGGGCCTTTCCTTGGAGGAATGTTAAGAGTTCATCCGCCCTAGGCCCTCTTCTTTCCTCTCGCTACCTTTTCTACTCGGTCTCCTCAGCCACTGGTGACAACTGCCAAGTTTCTTTCTCCAGCTCCAATGCCTCGGACTCTTAACTGTGCTCATACAGGCTCCCACTCAACATCTTTACCTGGACGTCTTGGGCATCTCAAATTTAACATGTAGAGCACAGAAGGCGTGATTATCAACAGTCCCTTCCACACACAAAAAAACCCCGATTCTTCTCCAATCTTCCCTACATCACAATAGATGGCAACACCACTCACCCAGAACTAAACGCCAGCAACTCCGATTCCTCAGTCTCCCTTCCCAACTGTGCGAGTGCATATGTGTGCAGACAGGGCGCAAGTCCTGTCAGCTTTTCCTCCGTGACACGTCGCATAGCCTTCCCTTCTTTTCATTCCGTTGCCATGACCCTTCCCAAGACATCTCCCTGCCATCTGTGCGTCTACCCTGTGCCGTAATACCAATTCCCTACTCCAGACAGCAATCTGAGATTTCTGTTTATAAAGTAATCAGACCATAACACACTCTT